ATAAGAGTTTTGGAACAATATGCTTTTGTTTGGTAATAATCTTATTTAGTCATATTTGTTCAGTTTCTGTTTGTTTCTCTTCTTCTCCTCAAAAGCTTTCAGCCAATATTATCTGATATAAGTTTCATTGTGTATTCCAAATATGATTTGATAAAGGATCTTAGTCCTACTGAGGAGGAGTGGAGCATTATGGCCAGAGTGGTTAGGACTTGGAAGGTTCCTAATTCTCAGCAAAAAGATTTTGACGAGATGGTTCTGTTAGATGAAAAAGTTGAGGTTGAGGTTTTTGGTCGTCCATGGCGTTAAGGCGACTCAGTTTGCGGTATCTGATGATACGAAACACGAATTAGAAGAGGCAGTGGCGTAATTTTTTTTAATTATTATTTAATTAAGTATTTGGATGTAAGATATGGTTAAGATATGGTTGTAAGATATGGTTGTGAGAGTTTGTAAATTGTTTGGGTTGTAAATATAAGTAATTATAATTAACTAAAATAATAAGGAACACGTATAGTATGGTTTTTTTTGTGTTTTACCTTTTTTATTTTTTATCCTGTATATTTTTTTCTACTTTATTCTAATCAGTTATGTTATTTATTCTTACTCCTATTATTTTAAAAAAGAAAGACTTCTAAACTTAATCACAAAAATGATTAGTTGACCTATTTCAAAGTATGGGCCCAATTAAACCAAATAAACACATTTAAAAATAAGAAAAATGGTTTGTCCTTTTAAAGGACACAAGGTTGTATCCTTTTAATTTTTGACACTATATCTTATCTGTAAAACATAGTTATAATATGAAAAATTATTTTTTTTCTATTTCCTTAGTCACTTCAGCTGACGTGGAGAGAGAAAAAAATTATTTTTTATGTTATAACTATGTCTTAACGGTAAGACATAGTGTTAAAAACTAAAAGGACACAAATTGTGTCCTTTAAAAGAACAAACACTTAACCTTTGAAAGTAATAATCATGAAACCTAATGAATAATAGGACTATAATTATAGAATATGAAGGTCCATTGAACTATTGTGCTTTGGGTTATTGCTCACAAAGAATAGTCAAAAACCTAATTCCCAAATATGAGAACTTTCCTTTGTGTATATAATTAAATAAGTAATTATAATTGGGCCTAGGTAAATTTGTAAGTTGGCCCTAGCTAAAATTGTAACAGTGGTAACATATGAAGATAAGGAGCTGCTTTCCGTGTATGACTAGATAACAAATTTCTTTCTTCTTCTTCTTTCATCTTTTTCCAATTGAGGTTTTCTTCTAACCTTTTTTTCTTATTCGCACTCACCACCCGGAACTCAGCCATTCTACGACAAGGCATGATGTTTCGTTCCTTTCTTCAAGATTTTATAGATACCTGTTATTGGAATATGCATTGGTAATTATATTGTCCGTTGGCCAAAAAAATTGATTTATATTTTTGAACCTTATAAAAGTGAAATTCTTTGTCTTTGCTGACCATAATTGTTTATTGGGTGTTTCTAACATGAGTGAAATTCACGCCCCTTTATTTTATTAACAACTTTTTTTTTGTGTGGTTGTAGTTATTGATTTTATTTCTTTTGAAAAAATGGAGTGTTGTTTTACGTTTAACATTTAAAAAAAAAAATTATTTTAATGTAGAGCTATAGTTGCTATTGGTAATGGAATTGAATTGTTTACTGGTGTTATTTGTATGTTATTTCACAACAAGAATGTGAATTTTGGTTATTAATTAGTGGAAACTGTTAAAGAGAAAAATCAATGAAGATATATGTATATATATGGAGTATGAAAATTTCTTATACATATCCATTAACAACTTCTTCTTTTTTTGTATTTTTAAAATTTTTAAAATATCTAAACACTAATTAAATGATTTATGTGGATCCAATGTCATTTAAATGATTTTAGACATTTGTCGTTGATTATTCCATATTTCTTTTTAATTGTGAAGTTTGTTGTCCCTCTATGTTAATGTTCTTCACAGGTCACGGCTAGGGGCATAAATGGGCCAAGTTAAGCCAAACTTTGGCTTTGATAGCTGTTATGGACCCATATAAAGGACCCGTAGAATGATAGGCCCAATAAGAGGCTATCTAAGATGTAAATCTAATATAATCATGGATAAATATCCATCAAGGATACTAATCCTAATACGACAACATAGCAAGTAGGTCTGAGCCTCTATTAGAGGCACTAAAGGCCCATCCACACTACCCACAGGTAACCTCTATAAATACAAGATAAACCCTAAAGGCATGTTATGTTCTCTCTCTTACTATTATGCTGTCACTGTGTGCACTCACACCCCATTGGCTAACCCGTTAATAGTATTCTGTGCACAGCGATCTGCTTGACTCAATGGTATCTCTTCTATAGATACCTTGGAGAGGGCACTAGATCCAAGACCAATATACCAGTCCATTGGACTGGACATCTCTGTCTCTAAGACAGAACAATAGCCTAAGCCTATGTAAAATATTTGGAACCTATACTAACATTTTAGCCTATTAAATACTTGATTTATGGCATGCCATATTATAAAAAAACTAAAAAAATCGAATACGACTTGTAAGGCCTACCAAGTTGCAAACTAAAGTTTGTAGGCCCAAATCAAATTAAAATATAAAAAATAAAAAAAGTTATTCACAAAGACCACATGAAATCAATTTTCATTATCATCACATGAAATAAGCTTTCATTAACATCACATGAAATAATGTTATCAAATATAACATGAAAATATTCATAAAAATCACAAAAATTACATTCATATATGTATATAAAAAGATCACACGACTAGTTTTCGGTCGTCCATGGCGTTAAGGCGACTTGGTTTGCGGTATCTGATACGAAACACGGATTAGAAGAGTCAGTCTTAACATGGCGTTACAGATTAGATTTATATGATTTTATATAATTTTATATGATTTTAAACACAGATTAGATTTCAAAACATGGCGTTAAGGACACTCAGTTTTTTTTTTACTTATTATATAACTAATTATAATTAACTAAAGTAAAAATTCTAATTTGGCACCATCTAAATTATAATTTATGCCAATATTACCAATAAGCTTCATTATGTTTTCCCAATATGATTTGATAAAGGATCTTAATCCTACTAAAGAAGAGTGGGGGATTAACACTTCCAGAAGCTTAAACATGCATCTTAAGGTTCATTTATGTTCATATGACAGTTGGTTACTTGTTTAACCCCTTAACATGCCAAGACTTCTTCTTTAAGCAACAAAACTCAAGACCAAGGTTGGTACAACTTACCAAAGGTACAAAACAGGAAAGCAAAGGCTCATGGAGCTCTCCAAACAGCTCCAACAATGCAGACCAAGAAGGTGCACGAAAATGCCACACCAAAGGTTGATTCTTGCACCAAAAGATGGCTCCTTGACACCACCAATGCCAAGCCAAAGGTCCACACCCTCTCAACAACCCAAAGTCAGAACCAAAAAACACTCTAGAAACACCCTCCTCTCAGCAAAAGCTGTAACCCAACCTCACAATGCACCCTCCCAAGTGTTTGCAATGTCAAAGAGAAGGAAAATCAAGATAAAATGGTGGTTTGGTCACAAGAGATGAAGAACAAGAAATGGAACAGTGAACACACCCTTGACCAGCCACCAACTCACGCACAAACATCAGAATCCTCCTAGGGTTGGGTGCAACTTTCATTTATATAGCCACTTAAGCTTAAAACACACTGTATTAACTTTAATTGCTACACTTAGCATTTTAATCCCAAACTTTGGATTCTTAACCTACTCAATTTTACAAGAATTATCATATTTTTCTTATAATTTTCGGAGCACCTTTCTGGTACGCGCTTTTCATAGCCAGTACCAGTTTCCGGCACCAGTTCTCATTATTTTGACTTGAAACTCGTTTAAAAGTCCTACATATTATTCTAGTATTTATCTTGCACTTGTTATAATTTTCCGGGATACTTTTTCGGTACGCATTTATACCGACTAGCAGAACCGGTATCTGCACTTTTCTTCCGAAAAGCGACTTTCAGCATTCTTACTCACTTAGTATAATTATTAGAGCCTCATAATAATTATTAGGGTCAATTATGGAATTATTTCTTAATTTAAAATAATTAATTACTTAATTTTCTTAATTAACGGTGCAGGTTCTTACAGTATCTCTTCTATAGATACCTTGGAGAGGGCACCAGATTCAAGATCAACATACCAGTCCATTGGATCTCGACTTTGACTGGAGCTGCGCAGGCATGGTTCTCGACTTTACCTGCTAACTCTATTGGATCTATCGAAGAATTTGGAGAGAAGTTCATTCTGAATTTTGCAACAAGCAAAAAAATCCAAAATCCGAGTTCGCACTTGGGAAGATACGATAGCAACGCGGAAAAACTCTCCAGAGGTATCTCAACTGGTTTAAAGATGCGGCTTTGCAGGTGCAGGGTTTGTGTAAGAACCCGCACCGTTAATTAAGGAAATTAATCAATTAATTATGTTAAATTAGGAAATGATTCCATAATTGCTTTAATAATTATGATAAGTGATTAAGAATGCTGAAAGTCGCTTTTCGGAAGAAAAGTGCAGATACCGGTTCTGCTAGTCGGTATAAATGCGTACTGAAAAAGTATCCCGGAAAATTATTATAAGTGCATGATAATTCCTATAATAATATATATGACTTGTAAAACGAGTTTCAAGTTAAAATAATGAGAACTGGTGCCCGAAACTGGTACTGGCTATGAAAAACGCGTACCGGAAAGGTGCTCCGAAAAATATAAGAAAAAGATATTCCGCGTTTTTAATTAAGCGCAGCTTAATACGATAGCATGATAACATTACCGGGTATACACGGGGTGTTACATTTTGTAAGAAAATATCCACGTCCACCTCATTATGGCTGGCCTGGATGGATGATCTAGACAGGCCAAATCAATTTATAAGGACCATATGAGGACATTGGAGAAATTTAGGACTCAGTCAAAAAAGTACCTGGAACTCAAACAAATGGAGATAGCAAATGTGCATTCTGAAGAAGGTAAAAGGATGAGCCCGAGAAGGAGGAGCTCGACCCCAAGAGAAAATGAGAAAGCCGATAATAAAAAGAAAGACTCCCGAGGAAGAATCCTGGATGATAGAGACCGGGTTGGAAGGTATGAGAAATACACACCGCTAAATGCCTCACGCTCTCAAATTTGGAGGGAGGTGGTAATGATGGAGATGAAAAAAGTAGATAGACCCCGACCCATATTTGATAGAGGAGGTTTGGATAAGTTCAAATACTGCACCTTCCATGATGGACCAAGGCATAACATTGATCAGTGCTGGGATCTCAGAGATGATGTGGAGAAATTAGTCAGAGAAGGGAAACTATACCAATACGTTATTAAGTGTCAGGGTTCCAGAAACAATAAGAGAAAATCTGGAAACCGGAAGAGAAGCAAGAGTCTGGTGACTGAAAAGAAAAGGAAAGAAGATAGGAACCAGAAAGATGATTCTAATAATGACGAATTCCCAGAAGCTGAGTTTGATTGCAACGTGATCAGTGGAGCTCTTGGTGGAGGGGGAGATACAGTAAGTGCTAGACGAAAGTTTTTAAAAAAAGTGCTTTTAATCAGGGATCATCCCAAGTTCAAGGAGGATCCCAGTAAGCCAGACCCCCCCTCTACTTTACTTCACGAAGGAAGATATGCAAGGCGTTTTTCCAGGGCATGTTGATGGGTGGTCATCACTGGCACCCTGGTGAATTTCCAGGTTAAAAAGATCTTCGTAGATGCAGGAAGCAGTGCCGACATTATATTGTGGGACACCTTCAAAAAGATGAACCTGGATGAAGAAGACCTCAAACCCTGCAAGACAACCTTGATAGCCTTTAATGGAAAAAATACACCTCCCAAAGGCTATATAGATCTCAGGTTAACCCTGGGAACCAAAGAGGCGTTCAAATCAGAACGGGTGAGATTCATAGTGGCTGACTTTCCATCTGAGTACAATGTTATCCTGGGGAGACCAACTTTACATAAGTGGGACATGCTAGTCTCCACAAAGCATCAAAAGATTAAGATGGTGTGCAGCAAGAATGAAATCATTACCATCCATGGAGATCAAAAAGAATCCAGAGAATGCTACTTTGAAACAGTCAAAGGAAAAGAAGGCGGACACTTGAGTCCATCCCGGATTCGATAGGGAGATGAAGCCGGCAAAATGGAAACTCCTCATTATTCCAATAAACCAATAAATATGGTTGAATTGGACATGAGAGAAGAGTTCATTCCCAGGCTAGAACCGGATAGGGAGTTAGAAGACCTTGCATTGGGGGAAGAACCCGGTCAATTTACCCGAATTGGTAAGACCATAGATCCCCGTATCAAGGAGGAATTAACTCAGTTTCTCAAGAGCAACACATATGTCTTTGCATGGAAGTCATCTGAGATACCAGACATTGGTCCAACATTTTGCTGCCACAAGTTGGCAATTTATCCCGGATCAGTGCCAGTAGCACAGAAGAAAAGAAAATTAAGACCAGAAAGAAAACATGTCCTGGAAGAGCATGTGAAGGAGTTACTGGATGCCAGGTTCATTCGTAAAATTCAATATACAACCTGGCTTGCTAATGTCGTTATGGTGAAAAAACCTAATGGAAAATAGAGGGTCGGCATGGACTACACGAATTTGAATAAAGTATGCGCAAAGGATTCTTACCCCATGCCCAACATAGACCAGCTAGTAGACAACTCAACTGGATTCCAGTTGCTATCCTTCATGGACGCTTATTCTGGTTATAACCAGATCCCAATGTATCCGGAAGATCAGGAGAAGACAACCTTTATTGCTGAAAAGGCCAATTATTGTTATAACGTAATGCCTTTTGGACTTAAAAACTCTAGGGCTACATACCAGAGGATGATGAATAAAGTATTCGAGGATCAACTCGGCAAAAATATTGAAGTATACATCGACGACATGATCGTTAAGTCATTCGATATGACAAATCATGTCCGGGATCTGGAGCAGACATTTCAGAAGCTTAGGGAATATCCCATTCGTTTGAACCCGGTAAAGTGTGCATTTGGAGTTCCGGCAGGAAAATTCTTGGGTTTTATGCTAACCCATAGGGGAATTGAAGCAAACCCCAACAAATGCAAGGCAGTACTTGATATGAAAGATCCTCAAAGCAAGAAGGAGGTTCAACAATTGACTGGTAGACTGGCTGCATTTACCCGGTTCCTACCTAAGTCAGCTGAAAATGCCCTCCCTTTTTTCAAATTGCTGAAAAAAGAAGTTGTGCAAAGCTGGAACCTGAAATGTCAATCCGCGTTCAACAAAATTAAGAAATGCTTGGCAGCCCCACCAGTACTATCTAAGCCAGAACCATGAGATACTCTGATCTTGTACTTGGTTGTTAGAGAAGAGGCAATAAGTGCTGCGCTGGTCAAAGAAACAAGTAAAGGCCAGGAGCCTATATACTTTGTCAGCAGGGCCTTACAAGTTCCAGAATTAAGATACCAGAGGCTGGAAAAGGTGGCTTTTGCCTTGCTAATTATGGCGAGGAGACTACGACCATACTTTCAGAGACACCAGATAGTAGTCCGAACTAATCAACCTATACGACAAGTATTGCATAAGCCGAATCTGGATGAGAGAATGACTAACTGGGTAGTTGAACTCTCTGAATACGACATAGCATATGAAAGTCGGCAGGCCATCAAATCACAAGCTTTAGTCGACTTCATAATGGAACTTACCACGGTTAACACAGGAATGGGAGAAGCCGAAGATGTTTGGACAATATATGTAGATGGATCCTCCAATGATAAAGGAATTGGAGCTGGGATCATACTTGAAAGTCCAGAAGGGGTGGCAATAGAACATTCCTTGAACTTGAGTTTCCCAACTTCAAACAATCAGGCAAATACGAAGCCCTCATAGCCGGGTTGATGCAGGCTAAGGAACATGGGGCTAAAAAGGTTAAAATCTTCAGTGACTCCCAATTGGTAACTTCTCAAATTGAAGGAAAGTACCAGGCCATGGGTCCTCTGCTGATGAAATACCTAAACAAGGTCCGAGAAATGATGGCCGAGTTTGAAGAAGTAAAAATTACTCATATTCCTCGAGGGGAAAACAGCCGAGCTGACATCTTGTCCAAATTGGCAAGTACAAAGAATCCAGGAAACCACAGAGTCGTGGTCCAGCAAAGTAGAACTGTGCCGAGTTGCGTGATGATAATCACCTCAGCAAATGATTGGAGGCAACCCATAGTGGCATACCTTGAGAAAGGAATATTGCCTGAAGACCCGCTAGAATCAAGGAAGCTGGTCCAAGATGCAACGCAATACGCAATACGCAATAGTGGAGGATTAGTTGTATAGAAAGGGATTACATATCCCTGTGCTAAAATGCTTGAACTCGAAAGGAGCAGAATATGTTCTGGCCAAGATACATGAAGGAATCAATGGCCAACACATGGGGGTAAAGCTTTGGCTAGAAAAGCCCTCCGAGCTGGCTATTACTGGCCAACTATGGAAGCTGATTCTGAAGAGCATGTTAAAAGATGTGACAGTTGCCAGAAACATGCTAGGCTGATCCTTTCACCTCCAGAGGAGTTGAAATATATCTTGACTCCATGGCCCTTTTTTAAATGGGGTATGAATTTGCTAGGACCTTTTAAAGCTACCGAAGGACAGTTGAAGTGGCTAATTATGGCCGTAGATTACTTAACAAAATGGATAAAAGCAGAACCTGTTACCACAATAACCTCAGCTAGAGTACAAAGATTCTTTGAAAGGAACATTATTTCCAGGTTTGGAATACCAGCTGAGGTGATCACAAATAATGGAACTCAATTAGCTGATAAAAGGTTCCAAGAGTTGATGAAAGACTTAAAAGTCAAACATCGCTTCGTACCCGTGGAACACCCACAATCAAATGGGCAGGCTGAAGCTGCAAACAAAATAATTGTTGACGGGCTCAAGAAACGAATGATGGATGCCAAAGAAAGCTGGGTTCATCAGTTATACTTTGTTCTGTGGGGATACATAACAAGTACCCAGACAGCAACAGGGGAAACCCTTTTTAGACTGACCTATGGGTGTGTAGCTATGAACCCTGTGGAGATAGGGGAACCTTCTTGGAGAAGGATGAATGCTATCAAGCAGAATGAAGAAGAGAATAGCAAGCTACTGTCTGCCGAGTTGGATTTTGTTAACGAAGCCAGAGTCACGGCTCACTGCCGAGATATGATGGCCAAACAACTGATAGCATCTAGATACAACAAAAGGGTGAGACCAAGGGTGTTTGAGAAAAATGACCTGGTGCCCAGAAGAGCAGACATCACCAATAAGAATGCCAGAGATGGAAAGCTAGCTGGAAACTGGGAAGGTCCCTATCGAGTTAAAGAGAAACTCGGAAAAGGAGCCTATATCCTGGAAACAAAAGAAGGCAAAGCAATCAAGAGGACCTGGAATACGGATAAACTGAAGTTCTATTATAGTTAAATCTGGGATCCACTTTTTGAAAACTCGAAGCATTTTCAATTAATTTGAAGTATTTTCATTTTCTAGGCGCCATATTTTCCTTTTTTAGGGACTGACTAAAGCCGAATATGCCAGCAAATTCATGTAATCGACAAACTTGATATCAATAAATGAGGAATTTTTCTTTTTAAGATTTATCCTTATTCAATTCTGATGCATCATTACGAATTCTGAGGTGCAAGCGCAATTTGTCATGCTGACTCTGATCAAGTCGAAATGCTCCTTACTTAGGTCAAAAAGACCCAAGGGGACATGTGACAATAATGCCTTTACCTTGGATAAAGCCGGGTTACAAAACCCAGATTATGATGAAAAGGTTAAGTCAACTTAGACAATCACCGTCATCAATGCTGGCTTAACGAAATGGTTAAGTCAAAATAAACATGTGTCATAGAGAATGAAAAAAAACGAAATCCATATGAAATGCTTTGACCTCGGCTAGGTCAATATATCGGAACTCGTAAAATGCACGAGTTGCAATAATAAGAATTTATTCGAGTTGTAAAAATAACCCGCCTCGGATGAGGAACAACTCGAGTAAGGTTTGAAATTCTTAGAAAATTGCCTAAGTTACAAACCTAGATAACAAGCATACCAGCTTGTTTATCGAAATCAAGAATTTGCTAAGTCCTTAGAAGTATTTAGAAAATACTTCGGACAACTCCTGGAGTTTATAAAACTCAAGTACCTAGGCAAATGCGTCTAAGTTATCGAAGGGATATGAAATGCAAAATTTCAGAGTATAAAAGCATAATACGAAGACATGATTTACATGGAGAATTTCACAAATGTCAAGAAAATAAATTGGGATATAACCGGAAATATTCATTACAAATTAAAAAGGGCTTAAGAGCTCTGATGAGACGTAAATTCGTTCCCATCTAGGCCCATTTTGATGGCAAAATACTGCACGTTCCCTCATCTGATGCACAACTTCAGCATGAAAATCACTTGTTTTACACATTTATGACAAAAACACAGTAGGGGAACGTATGGTAACGTATTCCTTTAAAATATATTAAAAGGGGAACGGACTGAGACGCATTTAATGCACCTGCTCCACTCATTTAATGCCTCTGTACACTTTGCAGGTAACATGGATTTAAAGTCTTCTAAAAGCAGAGGCGATGCATCAACTGGGCAGCAGGAAACGTGAAGAGCAGAGAATCAAGAGTTCTCATTGGCTGAAAAAGAAAGTAAGGCATGGGAAGGACTGCAAACAACGGCTAATCATCACCAAATTCTATTCCATCCAGCAATCTGCGCAGTTTCCATACTCTGCTGCCACCGTCCCATCCCCTCATTCAAGCAACCAACTCACAAAGATTTACAAGATTGCCACTCCTCTTCCATCTATAAATAGGACGACCCACACACAAAAACATCATCGAATCCTGGAGGGTTTGAAGTCTAAAAGGAAGAGATCACTTAGTAGTAGTTAGTAGCTTAGTTTTATTTTAAGTTGTAACCGTAGTCAATTGACAACCCATCTTCTCTTCTCTGTATCAACTCTAAGACTCCTCACGAGCATCAGACCATCTTTCTCAATTTTTTGTTTCTTTTGTACATTGTCTTTTCAATTAATACAAGTGTTTTTCTCTTCGTTCCATTCGTTATCTCTTAACTGAATCTCGGGTCTATGGGATTTCAGTT